CCGGCCGCTGGTCAGTTTCAACAGCGGCTGAATCTGGACGCCTGGGACAGAGCAGCTGGGGCGCTGCCGGGTAGGTCCCCGCAGCGCTGCACCTCGGCGCTGCGGGGACCAACCTGGCAGCACCCCAGCTGCTCTACCCCAGGTGTCCCCAAGTCAGCTGCTACTGAAACTGATCAGCAGCTGATTCCAGGAAGTCCGGGGCAAAGCAGCTCTACCTCGGGCTTCCTGTAGTCAGCCGCTGGTCAGTTTCAGCAGCGGCTGAATCGGAGACACCTGGGGTACAATATGTACCAGTTCCGACTTACATTCAAATTCAACTTAAGAACAAACCTACAGTCCCTATCTTGTCCGTAGCCCGGGGACTGCCTGTAGAACCTAAGTTACATACCACACAGTTACTTAAAAGTGAAATTGTGTGTTTATGGAGGATGAAAAGTTTCCAAAGCACTTCAATGCATTGCAACACTGGTTATAGTGAATTGCCACTAAAAGCTAAGTTGTTCTCTGGAAAAAAAAATTACACTTGTAAGGGCAACATAGATGTTTAAATGTAAAAGCTGCTCAATGTGTTTGTTTCACTGGCCCAAAAATATTTGATATAAACAGAAGACTGACCAGATTTGCTACAGAAGTAAGTTTTTATAAGTGTATCCTTTATTGTAGTGTTATTTCCTGACTTCATCATGCAACATTCATAGGAAATCAACTGATATCCCTTTGTCTCTTCCAGGCAAGGTGGAATTATTCTCCCTCTTTTTCCAGTGATAGAAGTAGTATCCATCACAAAATTCTGCAATGCATATAGACTTCTGTCCTCTTTACAATGGCCCCACCAATAAGTCCAACACTTGACGTATGAACCTTAAAAAGAGAGTCCCCAAATCAAATCTATTGCTCTTGAACTGGTACCTTTAAAGTTAAACACCATCAAACTTGGAAATGGGAAAATGACATTCAGCTATTCAGTAACCTTTCAGAAAACAGATCAGTGGTGACAGTCCTTAGCAGGGATGTTAAATTTAGATTAATTAACTAAACTGAACAGTTGATGGGATTTCCACTGACTATTCAATTAGTCTATAAGGGTGCCTTTGCACTGAAGCAAGAGCCCTATCAGGCTCTTGCTACAGTTCAAAAGCAGAAGCCCCATGCTCTCTGCGGGGCTTCTGCTTTTGAAATTTCAAAAGTAGAATAGCAGCAGAAGTGCGGCAAGCAGAGACTGCTTCAGTCCCCGCTCGTGGCATTTCCTGTTGTGCCGCTATCTCCCCTGCCCACCACAGAGACGGTGCTAGGGGGAACCAGCTTTTAAGCCGGCTCTCCCTAGCACCAGCTCCTGCTCCTCTCCCTCTTGCTGCCTCTATCTGATAGAGGCAGCGAGGGGGGAGGAGGGGGAGAAGCGACTAGTCGCATGACTAGTCAACTATCCGCTAAGCTTCTGATTATTGGATAGTTGACTAATCTCTTACATCTCTAGTCCTTAGCACAAAAATAATAGTCACACTCTTCCACTGAAATTTTATATTCTCACATATAGTGTTGTCTTACTGAAATTTCTCAGAAAATCAAAGCTAACTGCTCACAAAATAACAAGGCTACATCTATTTCACCACAGTGATCCCACAAATTAAATCCTATCTACTGCAAAGACTATGGAGGTAGAGATATAGACCTCCTTCAAAATCAGCTGTCAGATGAAAGCATCACTATGGATTTCATAGCTCTAACAGGCCCCCTGATGCATGTAATGACTTCAGTGAGCCAATAACCTAAATCACCACACTGGACAATTAAAAAACTACAAAGGTTTCAATTAATTTGTGCCTTTTAGTAGCTAAGTATGAGAAAAGGGGTTATAGCTCTGACACATAAGTATTACCTTTATTCAAGCATTTCCAACTTAGCCACACCAAGTCTGTCACATAAATTTAAAGCTCCCACCAAGGTAGCATTTCCATAAAGGAAAGGAGGATAATGAAGTGAATTAGCACACAGGAGCTGCAATAAAATCTAAGCTGAGGAGACTGATAGATGAATCTGCTTCTTTTTAAGTCTACTCTGTTGTCTTATATGCTTCCAGGAGTAAACAGTGAGGATCATTCTGAATTTACCTGCAAAACCAAACCAATTGTTAAGATGTTCTTTTTTTGAAATGGGGTGCTTCATTTAAAACAATGTTTTTTTTATTTGATTCATCATACTTCACTAAATAAGATATTACCGCATCACTGCAGTTCCACATTTCTAATAGATGCTTAGAATGAAATGATTAAACTTTACGCACTTTACACAACAAGGAGTAACCATGCATGGGCTCACAAACACTGGAAAATGTTTTAAGTATCATGGCATGGTGCCAAAATGGGATAAACTAACTCTTTAAAGATTACCTTGACTGCTATAGGATAACAAGCCGTTCTATCATGAGTTACAGAACAAGTCAAGGGAAAAATCAGATGTGCCCTTTAAAACAGAAATGCTCACAAAAATGTATTAGAGCTACCACTGTCATTTCAACTAGACAGGTGGGGTTTTAATCACAATATCCAATTACAGTTTTTATATTTCATATCCATAGTTTGGTCACTTAGAAGGGAAGTGACAACAAGATGAGCAATGATAGGCCCTTACATGTAAGACAAAAATATATTTATTAAGTGAATGGGAGGTGGTGAGATATTTCTACAGATGACAAATATTCCATAAAAAGGGTAGTTTACAGAAGTTAAATGAAATGGAATACTGTTTGCCAGTAAAGACCTGCATCTATCTGTACAGATGAATCTGATACCATCTAAATGTTTTGTTAGTCTTTAAAGTGCTACCAGACTATTTGTTGTTTACATTTTTCCTCTTACAGACTAACACAGCTACCCCTCTGAAGCATATGAATCTTTGTTTGCCAACTTTAAAAACAACATGCCCAGAAATCAACAGCAAGAATTCTTCATTTACAGGTACTCAGTGACAATCAAAAGGGGAGATTCATTTTTCATCCAGCACTTTTTATCCTAAGAGGGCAAAAGAAGGCCAAGTTTCATTCATATATACAAAGCGTACTCATAGGGTCAATGTAAAAGTAGGCATATGACCCAATGAAGTAAGCAAGACTACCAACCAACTAGGAGAGGGGGGAGGGCTAAGAAAGAATTTAGAAACCTAATACAGCAGCTTCTAAAAATTGCATTGCCTTTATAGTCGTAGTTTCAGTCTATGTAGACATTATTTATGTTGACAGTTCTCCCATTGCTGTAGTAGTAAAGCCACCTTCCAGACTGGCAAAGTAATTATTTCATCAACCTCGCACTGTGTACACCACGGATCAGGTTGGCCTGGCAACGTTATTGAAGGATGTGGATATTTCACAGCACTGAAGGATGCCCATGCAAGTTCCCAGTATAGACAAGTCCAGAAGGGCTTGAAAAGTTACACAGGCGCCTGCTAGAGGTCAGTGTACGGAGGAAGGGGAGGCGGGGAAGGGAAGCAGAGAGACCCAGCCGCTGCCCCGCGACCCAAGCACTGCTTCTGGGATTGCCCCCATGCTACTGCTCCTATACCCGCGGAGACGGGGCGAGAAGGGCGAGGCCTCGGACGTTCCCCTCCGCTTCTGCTCCCACCAACGGAAATTTCCCCGCCCCCTATCTCTGGTGGAGGGGAAGGAGGCCACCGCCCCACCCGACAGCCCTTGGCAGGCTCCTGCCCCTTTCCCGCCTCAGTTACACGACCCCGCCCGCCCCAGCAAGGCGGCAGCGCGGACGCAGGGAGTCTGCTGCCAGGGCACAGGCAAGAGGAGCCCCGCGCCTTGTGGGAGCGCCCGACAGCCCCCCTGTACCTCGCTCCCACTGTGCGATCCCGTTTCCGCCTTCCCGCGGTGGGGGCGGGGGAGTGTGAGTTGCTGCAGCCAATCAAAGCCGCCAGCAGCCGCGCGCCGGTACAGTTATGCACCCCCCCAGCCCTCTGGCCGCCGCCCCCAATCAGCACTCGCAGAGGCTCCGCTGACGCCTGTCAGTCACGAGCCGGCACTTCCCCGACCAACCAGAAGAAAATTAGGTAACGCCTCTTCCGGTTCTGCCCCCTGGTTCCCGGAAGTGTGATGTGTCTAGAAGCGGGGAGCTATGGTAAGCGCGAAGGTGCCGGTTGTGCGGCGCTGAGCCCCTTCCCCTTCCTGCACCTTTTCCCTGATCTGTGAGGGGCTCCGACCCCAGGAGCTCGCGGCTGGTTTGTGGCGCTTGCTCAGAGGCCCCCGCGCTCCTGGCCCCCCTGTTCCAGTAACCACGCTGGAGACTCAGTCTCGTGGTTCCGCCCCCCCCCCGTCCAGTTCTCCTCGCGGACCCCCCCCCCCCCATTTTGCTTCATTTCGGTCACCAATGCCTGGCTTGCTGAGTGACGCCATCGCGCCTGTGACGTCATTCAGCGACCCAGACAGATGAAGGGCGGGAGAACTCTCGCGAGCACGTGATGTGTAGCTGAGTATTCGGTTATACTCGCTAGTCTGCAGCGGGTAGATCTTGCCGCCCTGTCTTTTTTAAAGGGATAAATGTGCTTAAACGATATTTTCTGTTACATTCTTGATAACACACGAGTAGTTGCTTTTTCTTGAAAATAATGTGGGTTTTAAGAGAACAATGCATAATATATATTCCTTAAAAGGCGGTTTAATGGTAATTTCGAAAGAAGGGTTTCCTTTTGAAATAATCACATCTAGACAGCTTTTTTTTTTTAAATAGGGTATTTCGAAAAAGCAGCCTGATGCGATTATGCAAATGAAGCATGGGAAATGCAAATCCATGCTTCATTTGCAATTTTGCTCAGCTGCATTTGCATTCCTCTCTGGACAGAGGAATGCAGTGTAAACATACCCTAAGAGCCCAGTAAGCAGTGGAAGTGTTGGTAATGCTGCTACACAATATTTACCTCCTGTGGCTCTGCAAATTCTCTGGTTTGGCTCTAGTTAGGTTGCAGGCTGCCAGAATAGAGAGGTTCAGTCTATAGTTGCTTGTGTAAGCATTCTTTGCAAGATCTTTATGATGGCTGTGCCTTGTAGGCACAGGGTGTGTCAGACCAAAGCAGTTGTTGCCTGACTTGTTGAATGGTCTCTGAAAATACACTCACACTTTGGAGGATGAGCATAAGTGAAGTTTTCCCTTTTCAGCAGCAGCCTGGGAGAGCTATAGCTCTTTTGTACCTTTCTGACTTTTCTAATGTTGCTTTAATGGATTTGAGAATGTAGGATAATAGAAGGGGAAAAAATTGAAAACTCTGCCCTAAAATATAACTAACCATGTTGATCAAAGGGTCATTTAATTTATTAAATTTGGCTCTTAAGTGTAAAATGAGAGAGAAAACTGGAATCTAGAGATGATTATTTTTTCTGTAAAAGCAGAAGTCCAAGTAAGAACATGTTCTGCATAGCCATAGAGCAAAGAAGGGATGCAAGCGACTAGTCAACTAGTTGCTCCCTCCCTCCCCCTGCTGCCTTTTTCAGAAAGAGGCAGCAAGGGTGGGAAGCAGAAGCCCGTGCTGAGGGGAACCAGTGAAGTACCATCTCCTGGGTGCAGCCTGCCTCTGCTGCCTCTCTCTGAGGCAGCAGGGGGTTAAGGGATGCTGCTGTGAAGTGCTGGACTCCTTCCCCCCCCCGGGGCTGTTGCCGCCAAGCAACCCCTGTTCATGGTGGCCAGGGCTAGCAGCGGGCAGGGTCTGCTCAAGCAGCATCCCCCGTCCACAGCCAGCTGGTGCCAGAGCAGTCTCTGTTCGCAGTGGCCTGAAGTGGGCCATATTTAACATTAGTGTGACAAGCATTGTCTCCCAAATGTTGGGAGTATTTCACTGTTGCAGTAAAAGATTTCCAAATCGTGAAGGTCCTGGAGCTTTTGCCGTGCACAGAGCTGTATATGATATATACATTAAGGGTTCAGGAGTGTATTTACTTGCCGAAGCCCCCTACCTCCTATTGCCTTTTAAGTTGCAAAGCCAAAGTTAGGTTTGGTCCTTCACCCAGTGCGAGCTGGGATTGAGCTGGGCTGCCTATCGCCTAATTGAGTAGTAAGTAAAAATTCTATTTGCTATTCGATTAAATACCTGCCTCTCATCATTCCGAGTCACAATCACTTAAATTGTACAATTCTATCAAATTTTGCTGCAAAACTGTACAGCTAGAAACTAAGCTGTCAGTAACAGCCAGAAATTAAGTTTTTAACTTTTCTGATTGTGAGAGAGGCAAAAACATTCCAGATATGATTTGAGGGTAAACTTAATTGTTGTCTTACTGAAACTGCAGATAGCTTAAAACATCAGTTGTGTGAATTATGAACTCTCCCATCCATCTCAATATGATAATATGACTTTACAGTCAAATAATTGCCTTTTAAATGCCAATCTTAATTATTTAATGTTTTAACTGAAGCAGCCAGTTAATGTGATTGATCGTGGTTATTGACTGCAGTGGTGAATGTAGGCATGGATAGTCTGTTGACTTAGGTTGCTGTTGTGGGAATCTTGGGCCTCAAACTAAGGATGTGAAAGATTAACTGGTAACCGTCACTCTTAACAGGAAAGACTTCAGTTAACTGGTAATTGGTGGGGGCTGGAGTATTTTACCCACCTGGTACTTCTATGTTGCAACCATATATTGTTAATAAAAAAAACCTTGTGAACTGGAAACCTCTACATTTGGATATAGTGTAATCAGTGAGATATCAGAATAACATCAGGCTTCAGTTTCCCAGCTATGGCAGACTGATCCTTGGTGCTTTTGGGATCAGGGTAATGCAAATACTTTGAGCCACCTTTGTGTTCCCCTGATCCCCAGGGCTGCTAGTTGCCCTTCTGGCCCTCAGCCAGTTTTGGAGGATCCTCGAGCCTGCAATTACACAGGGTGCTTACACAGGGCTAGTCCAAGAATTATCAAAGTACAGCGCAGTCTGGCCAGATCCCCAGCTGTGTATAGGTGTTCCCTTATTCGAGGGAACTCCCTAACCAGCTGTTGAATCTGTTTTGTGATAGGGATATAAGTGAGTAGTCCAGTTGGGTAGTTGACTACTCGCTTCCCTCCGCCCTTGCTGTCTCACCTTGCTGCCTCTGTATGAGAGGCAGCAAGGCTGGGGGAAATGGGGGCTGTGGGGAGCTAGCTCCCCCCAGAACTGTCTCTGCAGTGTCGCCTGCCCCTGCCTCTATCAGAGGCAGGGTGGTGGAGGGGGCAATAAGGGAGGCTGCCACGAAGTAGCCTCTGCCCACAGTGGCCCCGGCTGCTCTGGCAGCAGCTCCTGTCCATGGCCAGTCTGGGCTACCGCAAACGGGCTGCTGGACCCCGTGCAAGCTGAGACCGAGCAGTCCTAGCTTGCACCAGTTTGGGACTACTGTGCCTCTGCATTTTAAATGTAGTAAGAGCTGCTGGACTCTTACTACATTTAAAATGCAGAGGTGCAGCAGTCCCAGAGCCAGCGCGAGCTGGGACTGCTCAGTTCCAGCTTGCACTGGGTCTGGGAGCCACCCACGTTGCAGCTCTGCAAAGTGGCTCCCCTTCTTGATTAACTGAATTTCCAGGAAATGGCTCAGGCAGCAGGATCCTATTTAGATGGTTTCTGGCTCCCAGTTATGGAGCTACCCTGGCAGCGGTCAGAGCCACAAGCCCTTTAAATAGCTGTAGCAACCCAGGCAGCTGCCAGGCAATGCGGTAGCGGCGGGGCTCGGAGCCATGAGCCCTTTGCTGTACTTCTAATTCAAAGCCTCCAGCCCCAGACAACTCTGGGGGGAGGCTAGTCCTCAGCCTTGTCCCTTCCACCCCAAGCCCTGCCCCTTCCAGGGTGGGGTTGGCCTGTGACCATGTACTAAAATTCATTACATGCCCCCTGCAAAAATTGCCCGCCCCTGCATTAGGGGATATGCAACATTCATCTCCATTTCACATTTTTATGAACAAATTAATATTGTTAGACAGTTTTTCTGTACTTCTAAAATTTGCACACAAACGTACTGGTTTGTGAAAATTATGCCTGAGTTGATTCTTTTGATGGTTTTGTCCTTTATTCATTGCTTGAAGACTTCCATAGGAGAGAGTGACAGAACTCTAATTTCCTTTCGCATTAAAAGCAAAAGCTAATGCAAATTTGGCAAAGAAAAGCGTTCACAACCTAATGTTTCCCTCTGGCATGTGTGCATTCTAAGACTGACTTTAATATATGCTTGCATACTACTACAGGCAGTCCCCGGGTTACGTACAGAATAGGGACTGTAGGTTTGTTCTTAAGTTGAATCTGTATGTAAGTCGGAACTGGCATCCAGATTCAGCCGCTGAATCCCGCCGCTCCAGTCCTCCGGGGCGAGAAAATCCCTGTTCGTATCTGCGGATCCGACGTAAGTCAGATCCGCATAACTCGGGGACTGCCTGTAGTTGATACAAATTATATTGACCACACGATAAGCAAATAACTGCTCTGACATCCTTATTTTGTGATGACGGTGCCATGCAAATCAGATGGGGATACAGGCAGGATCAAGTCCAAGGAATTGTGTACACCTTGTTTTCATAGAAATACTGAACTTACTCATTTTCAATATTCAGTAAATCTCACATTTTAAACATTTACATTGAGCTGCTGCAAAATGTCTACTTTACCACAGAATTCTTCACCACAAGTTTGGTTTAAAAATCAAGGAGTTTTACACAAGGTATGTGAGACTTTGATTGTGAGACTTGGTGCACTCTGTAGACTTAGAGACTAACAAGTATATATACACTACATACACTATATATAGTATAATGAGCTTTCATGGGTAAAACCCACTTGTATTCTAGGGCAACTTAATTCTGTCACATATTCATGAAATTTCTGTAACACATTTTGAGAGGAGAAACTTCAAGCTATATGACTTGCAAAATTGTGTAGCTCAAAATACAAAATATCTACCCTATATTATTGAGGGACATGGATCCAAGAATCTGTCCCTTTTTAAACAACAGTAATACAAAGAAATAACAACTTGAATCACCCGATTGAGCTGCAAGAGAAAGTGAAGACAAGATTATTCATCATGGAGTAATACTTCTTTCTTTTCCCAAGAAGAATTTCTTTCTGCTCATATTCCAACATAACAGTTTCATTTTATGAGATTCCCCAGA